CGCAAAACGGCCTGTGGTCTGCTGGGCTGCGATTGGGAGCACGACGTGCGTGAGCCGGGCGGTGCAGATTTGGGTTACGAGTAATTTATGGGGAGGTGGTGGTGTGGGAGGGGGGTTGTTTGGCGTGGACAGAGGGAACGGGCTGGACAGGGACCGGGAGAGGGAGAAGAAGGGTAAAAGCAGAAGGGGAGGGATTAACAGGAGGATGTGGTGGCTTGGGGGTGTGGGGGGCGGGGAGGGCTGGGGAGAGGAGGGACGGAAGTGGGGCCCAAGGAGGTGGGATTGGACGGAGGTAGGGGTGAGGTGTGCATTGCCTGCGGGGGTTGTGTATTTCGTGATGGCGTGGGGGATGGTACTGGAAAGGGAGTTTGGTGGGTGTTAGTTGTTACGTTGTTGCGTTGAGGAGTGGCGTTTGGGGTAGTTGGTAGATCCTGTATGGTTAGCTTTTCCCCTTGGAGTGCATTGCATCGAATCCAGCTCAGCTTGTGGGTTTCTCAACTTATTCCGATAGGCTAGCCGAATTCTTGTAAGATCATTGGACCCGGGCTACGGCTTCGGAACGACGCACCATATCCTTGACCAACAGGCCGGAATCATATCAAGCGAAGAACGAAAATGGGAAAGCCCTAGCGCCATGAATTTTTAGGATCCTCAGTAGAGGCTTATTTTATATGAACCCATACTGGATGCCATGATCACGTGCAAACAGAACAAACGCGAACAAAAGGTATCATGAACAAAGGTGAATGACTGGGGCGCCAGGCTTACAGTTGGCAGGTTTAGAATCCAATGAATTTCTGGAAATATCCCTAGCAAATTTTAACTTAGAAGGGGGTTATCCCAGTGTCTGGAATACGCATGCACAAGCATGCTATCACTTCAACATTAATATTCACTCAAGCCGTAAGCAACACACATGTCACATTTATAAACACAAAAAAGTCCCAAACACAATACAAACCCCGATCCTACGATTGCTCTGCATAAATCTGAAAAAAAAGGCATTAGCACGTTATTTCGAACCGTAACGAGGCTCCGTCCACTCACTTTAATAGTCTTATCCGCCCCACCCGTAATAAGCCTCGTCCCGGTGTGGTCAAACGTCGAGCAGAACACACCCGCCTCGGCCTCGAGCGAACCAGGTTGGGGGATATCGTCCATGGTCTGGAATGGGGTCCCCGTGGCATAATCCCAAAATGTAAGGGTCCCATTGTCACCTGTGTTAGGTGTGTGATGAGAAACAACGACGCTAGCCACCAGTGGCCACTCACCTCCGGAGAAAAAGACGCCGTCCCGATTAACACTCATGGTATTGATAATCGCATTATGCCCCGCAAAGTTGAACACAAACGTGCCCTCGGGGCACTTCCACTTCTTGATGTTGTTCCCCCCCGCGCTCCCGCTCGCGAAGCTGTACTCGGTCGGATGCACCGCGAGCGCACGCACGCTCTTTTTGTGGTGCGTCAGCTGCACCATCGTCTTTCCGGCCGCGAGGTCCCACAGGCGCACGGTGCTGTCCATGCTGCCGGTGATGACCTGCGGGTCGGACTCTTGGGCCTTGACGGCGGCGACGGTGGCGGTGTGTCCGCTGAGGACGTGGATGTTGGCCTTTGTGCGCATGTCCCACACTCGGGCGCTGGCGTCGCGCCCGGACGTGACGAGGACGTCGAGCGTGGGATGGAGACTGAGGGAATAGACCCCGGAGAGGTGGCCGTGGTAGTGGCGGATGACCTTGTTGGCTTCGAGGTCCCAGCACTTTACCATCTGGAATAAACGAGGTGGGAAAAAGATCATATATATAAGAAAACGTTGCGCGTACTTTATCCTCGCCACAGCTAAACAAGTACGGGTGTCTCGGGGACACCTCCAGCCCTCTGACGGTGCTGATGTGACCGGTGAGACTCAGCTTGAGCTCTCCGCTCGCCAGGTCCCAAATCTTGATGACGCGATCTCCTGCGCCGGTTGCGAACCATTTGTTGCCCGGCTCGACAGCGACGCTCCGGACCCAGCCGAGGTGGCCCGATATGACACGCTTGAGGGCCCACTGGGGATGGAACTCGGGCTTGATGGTGCGGGTTGTTTTGTGCCTGGCGAGCGCTTTTGAGAGGGTCGTGCTGCTGGTGAACGTGGATTGTTTTGGGGCGGCGGGAGCGGGGATGAGGGCGAGGGTGGGGTCGGAAGAGGATGCTTATGGAGGGGCGCGTGAGAGGGGGGAAATGACAGAAAGGGAATGGGGAACTCACGGCCTGCTGTGATGGCTTTGACGGGCATAGACTTGGGCCGTGCGGGGCCTACTTGTCCTTGTTGGGCGAGCAAGGCGGGTGGGAGCACGGAAGCGTACTTGTATTCATCGTGGACTTTAATGGATAGCTTTAATCGGGTGCTGAGAATGAACTGTGAGTAACATGGAAAGCAAGAACTTTGTGTGGAAAAGATAAAACGGACCTCTTTTCAGTATCTTTCGCATCCGCGGAGCTTGCAGAGAATATATCTCGTGTACGCTTTAGACTTGTTCGTAGTAAGGGCTCTAACGGCGGTAGTGTTGAGGTTGAAGTCATGGTATTGGCGGAGTTTCAACTTTGTGGGATCACCGGAGGAAGACCTTAGTGTCTCTTTCAGAACCAGGATTTTATATGGGCACTGAAAGCAAGAAAATGTCGGCGTTTCAATATGACAGCTACGCCTCAGGTGCAGACCTCGTCCTGGCTTCTCGTTCTCCACCATGTTCTCCTCCTAGCTGCTGTCGCTCCTCTTAGAAAGAAAGAAATAAAAATACCTTGCTATACCTTGCTATACCTTGCTATTTGCTAGTGCGCTCGTTACCTCACGCTCTTTCCTTTTCAATACCATGCAATTCCGAATACTCTTTCTCATGGCCGTGCTATTCGTATCTCCCGCACACGCCGCACCTGCTCGTCATGCTTATCGTCATGGGCATAGTCTCCATGCCGCAAGGTCCACTCTATTCTCAGCCACAAGTTCTATCTCCAAGTCCAAGACCCCACCGCTCCCCTCCAACTCCGCCGCTTACCCAGTCCTGACAATGCACACCGTATCAACCTCTATACCTTCAGCTTCATCTGCATCGCCAGCACCGGACCGAGCGACAGGCGAACCGAGCGAGGCGACACCACCATCACACCATCGCCGTTCCCCCATTCCCATCCCAGTCATAGTCATACTCGGCGCCTTCGCCCCTTGTGCCTTCTTCGTCCTACTGCATTACGCGACGCTGTTCTATAGGAGGCGGAAGACGGCACGGCTGAGAGCGAGGTCAAACCCGACTTGGAGCGTCGTCCATTTGCTGAGGGGTTCGCGATCGAATGGGAGCACGAATATGGACAGCCCGAACTCTTCACTTGACAGTCCAGATGCGTCGCTCAATACCAAGGTCGAGGGCGGGATTGGGAGTCCGAATAAGCATGATGCCCATGCCGACGGTGCGGGGATACTGATGGGCTATGGTTCCAAAGGACGGTATAATTGGTTAGACTCACCCGACCTTGATGGAGACCTGGGGACGCTGACGACGACGCACTCACGTGCCTACTCCGAGTCCCGTGCGTCCAGTTACCTTTGTAATCCGCGTCTACACCCGCTGCCAGAGTATGCCTCGTTTTCTCAGCCGTCGTCCTACTCTCAGCCGCTGTTAACCCCGCCCCGTCTACGATTGCAGCCGCAACCGCAGCATCAGTCTCCCTCGCTTTCGCCCTCAGGGTGCTCTCGCTCTCCACCGCTCTTCTCCTACGCACATGCCGCATTCCGGGATTATAACCCGCTTTCTCACACCCGTGGCCAGGCGCCATCACAGTCGCCAGCACGATCACAAATTTCTGAGCCCCAATCTCAGCTGTGCACGCCCTCGCCACTCTCCCCGCCTGCTACCCCGACGCCATGCACGCCCACGTCATCCTCCTCCCCGCCTGCTACCCCGTCCGACCCACCATTCAGCCCGCATTTGACCTCGTCCCCGCGCCCATCTAGATTCGCACGCCACCGACATCGAAACCGAAACCGAAACTTGCCTCTCGATACGCGTAGTCCGAGCACGCCACCGCCACCGCCACCGCCACCGCCACCCGCGAATAACAATAATTCAAGTTTTTCGCCATTCCTGGATCGATCCTCCCCAAACGCAAATGCAGATGCGGATGCGACTTCGACGCCGCCGCCGAGATATGTCCCCCCGTCTGGCGTTCCTGGAACCCCGATATTTGGCCACTTCCGGAACCTCAGTGGGGGGATATTCGGCTTGAGCGGGTGGGTTCTGAATGGGGTTGTGGTGCCTGTTGGGGCGATGAGGGCTGGGCCTGTTGGTATTGGCGGAGGCGGGGTGTGATTTGGCGGAGAGTGGGCGTGAAGGGAGGGTGGGTGGGAAGATGTGTGATGTGGCGGCGTGGTTATGGTGGGGGAGGTGAGCGAGGGGTGGCTATTTGAGTAGTGAAAGCTGGGCTGGATGATGTTGGGAGTGAGAAGGTGGGGAGCCTCGTGGAGGTCGTTGTTTAGGATGGAGGCGGTACTGTGTACAGGCGAACTCGTGCAGTTTGGACACGAGAGGACTGCGTGAGGCGAGATGTATAGTCTCTCTTTTTGTGGTTATACGGTTTCATGCTTGTATGGTTATTTTCGTCGCATTTTGTCAGGCCTTCCGTGACTCGCCTGTTTTCTGTGTGTTTACCCTCATCCAACCGTAACATGTTGTTGTCCATCCGCTATTCGTTTATCCTGTTCAAGGTTCAAAAACCATTTTTCCAGCATATTGATCGAGTACTACGGACAGGGTTTAGGCTGAAATTTTGTGAATTTTAAGCTCTGAGGGGATTACTTGTGGATGCTACTACTATCTTGGATTATCACTTGTGATTCGGTTATTAAATCAAATGGAATCCACAACGGGCGGATAACTCAAACTATGTATATTCCACGAAAAAAATATTAATCCAAAATAACAAAATGACTGGTGAACACAGACCATTTCTTCGGCACAGAAAGTGCATATAGGCAAGATGGCCGAGTGGTCTAAGGCGCCAGACTTAGGTAATTGCATACTTACATATCTGGTCCTCCGGGGCGTGGGTTCGAACCCCACTCTTGTCATGTTTTTCTGCGTAAGTAGATTTTTCCTTGTCAGTATGACTCGGTAGCGAATATCCTTGGATACGGACCCTCGTGTCTGAGATAATGTTTATTACTTCGGAGAGTATTTGCAACTAATATATATTAGCTAAACTGAATTGTTCCTAATATTCATTAATAGTAAGTAGGGAAATACATGATCTTTTTTGAATGTGGTGTACTTCATTTTCTTTACTGGGATTGATATAGCAGCTAAATGGCTTCGATCATGCAGAAGCTACTCAAACGGACTATAGCGTGAAATCGCGTGACCGTCACGCGTCTGTGACTCCTTAACACTACACTACCACGACCGCGACCACCAGACATACGTGTACCCTCCATGTTTCCGGTCGCGTCTTCCTCTGCATGTTCCTCTCCCACTGCCCAATATTCTGTTTCCGAGTCAAACTGTGGGAAGAGCCCGGACGGTTGCGATACTGGCGCGTCGACCGCTGTGCCTTCATCCCCAATAGACATGGCTCGTATCAAAGATATGGAAGGTATGGATGACTATGCCATGGACGGGGATTCTAAGGAATACATGGTAAGATTTCTCCTTTTCTTTTTTGAGATTAGTAATGCCATCACTGGATCTGACACATACCTGGCAGCCACGTACAAAGGAGGATAGCAGCGTGACTCCCGAGCAAGTAAGTCGCGCAATGCTTTCTCATAGTTATGCTCTTTCTGACGCGGCTGTGACGACTAAGGACCTCCAAAGCCGCCTCATCAGCCTGAACGCCCTCCTCGAAAAGTCAAGCATGTACACTGCCAAACTTGGAGAACAGATGAACATGACTAATATGACCATCGCACAAGAGCAAGAACGCGCACGGTCGTCCAAGAAGCGGAGTAGAGACGATATTGATCAAGACGAAGAGGAAGACGACACGGAATCGAAACAGCAAAATCTGGGGGATGCGCCAGTAATGCTCAAGCAGCCGGAAGCCATCACTGGCGCGACACTGAAAGATTACCAACTTCAGGGTGTAGAGTGGCTTACGGGTCTTTATTTGAATGGCGTCAATGGCATATTAGCAGATGAGATGGGCTTGGGGTAGGTACAGCAGATCATTTATCCTTGATTCAAAACTGACTCGATTTGAACTCATAGGAAGGTAAATAATTGCTGCTACTTCGTTTGTTTTGGGCAGGCTAACCGTTGCATCACCACAGACCCTTCAGACAATCGCATTCCTAGCCCACGTTCCAGTCACCCGTCCGGCACTTATAGTCTGCCCTCTCAGTGTTCTTCATAATTGGGTTGACGAATTTACCAAGTTCGCGCCTAGCGTGAGTGCTGCGTGATGTTTCATGTCGTCTTATTTATCTATAATAATTGTTGCAGATACCCGTATGCCTGTATCACGGCACTCCCGCTGAAAGGGCGGAATTACGCAATACCAAGTTTGTCAGTTTTATGAATACCAGCTCGACGCCTGTGGAGGGCCATACAATTGTGGAGGAACGCCCTGCCCCCAAAAGTCGTGGAAGGCCAAGGAAATCGAACGTTAATCCCATACCCAAGAAGCCAGTTAAAAAGGCCGCAAAGAAAGAAAAGACGGCGGTTCCTGAGCCTCTCCGACGTTCAGCTCGATCGACTCGTTCGAATATTCGCATAGTTGAATCCGAGAGCGAAAACGACGTTTCAATTGAGGAAGGTGCTGATGGTAGTCCTAAATCGCAGGCAAAACCAGAAAAAATCACAGACGTGACAGAGGAGGAACCCGCAAACGAACTACCTAATAACCTCGTTGTTATCACTACTTACGAGATGATCATAAAAGATCGACAACATCTTGCAAAATATCAATGGAATTTCATTGTAGTTGACGAGGGTCATCGGTTGAAGAATATGGATTGCAAGTTAGTGATGATTTTTTTATGGGTTGAGGTTGTACTGATCAGATCGCATCGCTAGGTTGGTTCAGGAAATTAAAAAATATGATTCTGCCAATAGGCTTATTTTGACGGGCACTCCGCTTCATGTATGTCACCCTGTCAATAAGACCGTTCCGAAGCGCTTACAGTTTTGCAGAATAATCTTGCGGAGCTTTGGTCACTGCTTAATTTCATCCTCCCAGATATCTTTACAGACTTGAATAGCTTTCAGGAATGGTAGGTGTTGGTACCAAAACAGACCATCAAATATCGACATCTTGTTTATCTAGGTTCAACCTACCTATGATGCAAAATACTCTCCCGACAGAACATTCGTCCCGTGTCATTTCCAAGCTGCATGATATTCTCAAGCCTTTCCTCCTCCGTCGCCTCAAAGCCGATGTCGAACATTCACTTCCTCCCAAGAAGGAATATGTACTCTACGCACCTCTCAGCGAGCGACAGCGCGCTGTATATGATGCAGTTCTGACAGGCGTTCTACGCAGCTATTTGATCAATGGCAAGCGTGACTCAGTAGTCGTAGCTGATGTTACACGCGGTCGTGGAATGCGAAAGAGGAGAAAGGTTAGCTATAAAGTGGACAGCGACGATGAGGCGTGGTTCGAGAATTTGGAGAGTGACGAAAGCCAGATGGCACAGGAGGATGAGCTCGATGCTGCCCAGCAATTTAATCTTAAGAATAGTGGTACGATCCGATTGGTTTGCGGCATATATATGCGATAATTGATTGATGCATCCTTGATTAGTTAAACAGGTCAATTCGATGAAACTTCAAAACACTGTTATGCAACTTCGGAAGGTTTGCTCGCATCCTTTCCTGTTCGACTGGCCTTCAGACCCTGTCACTCGTGAGCCCGTGGTCAATGACGAGCTAGTCAAGGCCAGCGGCAAAATGATGATTCTCGACCGTCTGCTTGAGGAACTCTTTACGCGAGGCCATAAAGTGTTGTTGTTCAGCCAATTTACGACCATGCTGGACATAATCGAGGTGGGTGATAGTATCCTCATACATGATTGTCTTTTCCTGACTGAATTGTCTTCGTTATCCTCAGGAATGGGCTGACACATTCAAATCATGGCCTCTCTGTCGCATTGACGGCTCGACAGGGCCGAGTGAACGAAGAGCGGAGATGAATAGATTCCAGCAAGGCGGGGATTCCCCAGATGCGCCCAAGTTATTCTTACTCAGTACACGAGCTGGCGGTCTGGGAATTACTTTAACAGCTGCTGATACAGTCATTTTTTATGATCAAGATTGGGTAAGTAATTTGTAGCCTGCGCGTGCATATCGAGTTTGATTGTCGTCTAGAATCCTCAAATGGATATTCAAGCCCAGGACAGAGCCCATAGAATTGGGCAGACAAAACCTGTGTTGATTTTCAGGCTTGTTAGTGCACATACCGTTGAGACGAAGATTATGCAGAGGGCAAATGAAAAGCGACAGTTGGAGGCGTTGGTCATCGCGAAAGGTACCCACTCTGCGCCAGTGTCCTCCTAGAAGTCTTTGAAACTAACAAGAGCGATTTAACAGGCAAATTCCGCATGCCAGGTTCAAAGGCCCGCACAAAAAATGAAAGCATGGCAGAAATGGCGGCGTCACTCCTCAAATTGGAAGGTGAAAAAATCGAGGTCGTTCCGGACTCGGAGGCTGGGAAAGCCAAGATAATCAGCGATGCTGATCTTGAACAGCTGCTTGACCGCAGCCCCGAGGTGTTTGCTGGACGAGGAAAGGGGTGGAATTCCGGTGCGAAAGGCGGTGATCAGGCTAAACCGGACGATGTGGCGTTCGAGGTGTTCCAGGCTCCCGTGGATCAATGCAATGATAGCCTCGCTGTGATGATGGGGGAGACTGTGGAGTAGAGCGGCGATATAACTCAGGGGGTGTGTGTGTGGCTGGTTTCTTGTTTGGGTTTGCGGTCCTCTGTAGAATAATTTTTGTAGTAGGCCCTATATATAGTGTAGATATCCAATTAATTGATGCTGATAAGTAATTCGGTGAAAGCATGGCAGGAATGGCGGCGTCACTCCTCAAACTGGAAGGTGAAAAAATCGAGGTCGTTCTCGACTCGGAAGCTGGGAAAGCCAAGATAATTAGCGATGCTGATCTTGAACAGCTGCTTGACCGCAGCCCGAGGTGTTTGTTGGACGAGGAAAGGGGTGGAATTCCGGTGCGAAAGGCGGTGATCAGGCGAAACTGGACGATGTGGCGTTCGAGGTGTTCCAGGCTCCCGTGGATCAATGCGATGATAGCCCCGCTGCGATGATGGGGGAGATTATGGAGTAGCGGCGATATAATTTTTGTTGGTAATTTTTGTAGTAGCCTATGTAGCGTAGATGTCCAATTAAATTAATGCTGATAAGTAATTTCGGTCGCAAGGGCTACGAATCGTATTTTTTTAGTGCTAGTTCCTACTGCTGGTCTCATTACACATCCACAGTATCTTGGCCACCCCTGTACCAGGCTTTACCTTCATGCCATATCCTTGTTCTGAGAGATGTCGATTCGATGGTGGCCACCACCATACATACACTTTCGAGCCTTTTATGGGTTAGCAATTCTGACCATCCCTGATCAATCCTCTTACTGAGAAATAATATTGAACGTAAGGTTTTCTTCTTTGAATTTGCTTCGCTCAAAGCGGGGTATCTCTTCAACGCTAATGAACACGATCCGAAGTTCTTTTTGTCACCATGCAAGCGCTTTATGCCTAAACGTCGAAATCCCCCATACATTCATTCAATAGATACACAGATCGATGCGTGTTATTTTGAAATTCGATGTCACGGGGACAATAGGTTGAGGCATTTCCGGATAGACAAGCGAAGCGAAAAGAATTCGTTTCCGCTCATCAGACATATCACCTCAAGCCCGCTACCTGAGGCTGTTTATCGCTGAAGCCATAAACTCGTCAAAAACGTGGCTTCCCAATACTTACTGCCAAAAGCTTATGGGTGCCTTCCCGCAGCTGGACAGTGCTCCTGATCCCCAAAAGAAGTATGGATTTCTGGAGCTCGTCCCAGGGGATGACCCGCTTGTGGAGTAAGTTAAGACCGCTACAACTAGAAGTATGGAGTTT